TTTGATACAAGCGGCCTGGTTTAGAAATAGACTAGGCTTATACAAATTTACATGCGCTGAATACGAAATCAAAGTTTACGCAAAAGGACTTCAAATGATATATATTTATTATACTTATACGAACGTTTTTCCACAACAAAGCATTCGAAAGAATTAAATAAGGCTCGGGTATTATCAATTGTGTGACAAGAATTATATAGAAAAAATATTATGAAAAAAATTAATCATTAAAACTCAGTAAAAAAAACTCCATAAGATTATTCAATCCAAATTGTTATAAAAATACGAAGGGATTTCTTACACTCTGATAGAATTTCTTACAAACTTTATATCTTTTTTTTTTATAAATGCACGTGAGGAGAACGATTCGAAACTGGTCACGTGTACAAATATATATATCTCTTGTCATATATATCTCTTTTTTTTTTTACAACACAGGGGGCAAACGAGCATGCGGCTCACCTGATGGTAAGTGACTACCGCCGCCCATGATCACCCACAACACCAGCGGCATTGCAGGTGTGCTGCCGGCCTTTTAAAAAGGAATATGCTCTTTTCTTGAAGGTTACGTTGTCGTATCTCACATTATGATCAGTAAAACAAAATACTATTTGTACTTGTTAAACATAATATTGAAACAATGAAATTTCACTGTCAAATAATAACACAAATAGTTTTTGTACAGAAACAAATTCCATACAGAATTTTATGCGAATTCCAAATGTCAATTATTCCAATTGGTAACAGAATTCGTCATAGTCGTAGAATACTGACGGATCTCTATATGTAATCTTTGTCAGATCCGTCAGTATTCTACGACTATGACGATACCTATATCGTTATAGTCGTAGAATACTGACAGATCTATATATGTAATCTTTGTCAGATCCGTCAGTATTCTACGACTATGATGAAGTGTTTTGAAGGTTAAAAATGATCATAAAAAGTTATAAAATCTAGGTAATGTACAATCAAAATCATCATGTCAGACTTTAACTGTCCACTGCTGATAATAAGCCTCCCCTAGGGAGTTTTGCCAGTAGTTGCCATGCTTGGCAGGCGAGTTGGCAACCGCAGTTAATCCCTCAGAGATGTTTTAAGAGGGACGCTGCTGCCCATCCCTCTATCATAAAGCAACTTTAGTCGCCTCATACGACACGTTGGTTGCTTAATGAAAAAAAGATTGTTGCTAAATGAAATAAGAAAGGGAGGGGTGGCCTATTCTATGCCGGGACCACACGGCAACCTGGTTATATTTTCATTAAGTTATATTAAAGAAAATTAGATATCTAATAATTAAATAATTATACAATATGTTTGCAGACTCTGAAACAGGTGGGTATATAATGTTTAATTGTAAATTTAAATGCCAAATAAATATTTTTCTATTCAATTTTCTATTTTAAAGGAAACCCAATAGAATTTTAACTATTACATCCGCTGTAACCGTATAGAGACCGCGTACGTTTTGCAACTTTGTTCGCAGCGACTACGTTTTATTTCCAAAAAAGCACCGACTACAATCGTGGAAAAACCAGTTATGAATGAATGAATGAATGAGTCAACGCCTTACTGTCCGACTTGACCCACTGAAACTGCAACATCTCTGCGCATCTTCTACCGAATTTATCATGGGGAGTGTTCTGAGGAATTGTTCAGATTGATACCTGCTGCTGATTTTCATCACCCTACAAACCCGCCATAAACAAAAGTTTCATCCCAATCATCTGGACGAGTGGCGGTCTTCCACCGTGCGTTTTTCAAGGCACTTTCTTCCACGCATAACCATTCTTTGGAATTAATTTCCAGCAGCAGTATTTCCGAACCGATACGACAACATAACCGTCAAGAAAAAAGTATATTCCTTTTTAAAAGGCCGGCAGCACACCTGCAATGCCGCTGGTGTTGTGGGTGATCATGGGCGGCGGTAGTCACTTACCATCAGGTGAGCCGCATGCTCGTTTGCCCCCTGTGTTGTAAAAAAAAATGAATGAATGTAAACTCTTTATTGTTCCCTTCAAGAAATGATACAGATTATAAAGATGAACAATTTGTACATAAATAAAATTAATAATTATTTATTATTATTATTATTTCAGCCGGTAACTGTCCACTGCTGGACATACCACACCTTCCCCATAGCCCAACAAGAATCTAGTCGTATTATGTTTTGATTTATACATACATATCTATCACACCTACCTGTCTAGGGTAGACAGATACAGTGGAATGGGGGGAAAGGGATTGTTAGTAATGGAGACTGAGAATCCCATTGTTAGCAATATACCCAACCAGGTCGACCTCCTGTTGGTTCCCCCTAGAAACTATCATGGTTAATTCCTGATGAATTCATCATGATGGGCTAACTGGCCTGTTTTCATTCTCATCTATCACCCTTCACTGGTGCTCCGCCAGTGTATCCCGTTAACGCAAACGGCGTTACCATACCATTTTCACCCATAAAAAAAAAAGATACAGTGGAACGCCAAATCATCATCATATCAGCCTTTAACTGTCCACTACTGGACATAAACCTTTCCCATAAGGGAAATTTTGCCAGTAGTTGCCATGCTTGGCAAGCGGGTTGGCAACCGAAGTTAGGCCTTTGAGGACGTTTTAAGAGGGACGCTGCTGCCCATCCCTTACTTTCCGTTAGTCGAATAATTAATTACATAAACTCAATTACACAAAATACAAGCAAAATAAAGAGGCAACTACATAACCTCCCCTTTTTAAAGTTAGTGAAATAATACCAATACAAACGAAACGCTATTTGTATTTCTTATAGATGTATTTTTGTGAGAAATTTAATCGCTTTTGTTGGTGGGGTTTAATCTTTTAAATCTGCACTTTGTAAGCTGCATGGCTGAGGCGGTCGCGGTCTACAAAGCCCCACGAGGGCGGCGGATGGAGGGGGAGCCAGGTCCTTTTCAATTTTATATATTGTGCTATTTTGGAGCGACTTCGACGACAAACGAGGAAATATTCTATTCCCCTGTTTTTTTTTTTTTGTAGCTTTATTAAGCGATTACGGGTCCAATTTTGAAATGAGTTTGATAATACCTTTTGCAATTATTTGAAATTCCATACTGGCGTCGTTTTAATTATGTTGTATGATAAATGTTATTTATTTTTCCTTGTGTAGTAAATAGTACATTACTGCAGCGGCCAGCAACTAAAGCATTGATGGACGAACGTGCAAATGTGGGCCGAGGCGTAGCCGAAACATACATACGTGAGTCCATTTCCTCAAACAATGTGCGGAAATCAAAAACACAATTTTACTTTTTAAATTCAATGACAAATAACGAACAATAATAATTTTTCACGCACCATAATGTTCCTTTGATTTTTTTTTTCAATAAACAGCTTTCTATTTGCAAACCAGTTCGAAATTTAAATAAAACCTTGTATTTGTTACCTCCTTGGTAGCCATGTAGCCAGTAAAAGGCCATTCCATTTTTAATTTACAGGACAGATATGAGTTTACATAGTAATTTATCTGGCTGCAAAACACGACAGATATGAATTTTCATACAACTTTTGCCGGCCGCTGCCCGCATGTACCTGGCCAGTACGGCAATTTTGATTTATATCGAAGAAGATTGTCAAAATAATGATAACATTTCCAAGCATGTTTGAGAAAAATTTATTTATTACATGATATAGCAATATTTAAAGTTTTTGAGACTACGAAACATATTATCGTGCGTTTTATTAATTTTTAAAATAATAATAGTGTTGTTGATAAAATTGAATCAAAAACAGTCAAGTAGTCGACGCTCACACACGTTATATATCTATTTTAATATCAACAGGGTGTTTTAAAAGGGACGCTGGTGCCTATCCTTCGAACATGAAATTCCCATTTTCCCATAGCCATTCTACCCCGGAATCACACGGCCATTATAATTTTATTCAATAATACTCGATACTGAGAGAATCTGTAGAGATCGTAACATCTAAAGGTGTGCTTTGCCCTTCACAGATAACAAGTTTAAAAATAATAAACTCTTTATTCCGCATAATAGAGATGTATACAAGGAGTATTTATACAGAATGTGCATATACAAAAGGTATCCTTGCCGCTAAAAGCAATCTCTTACAGACAACCTAACATAAATAGTAGATAAATACAATATTTGTTCAAAATCTTTACACCAAAGTCTTTTTATCTATACTTATAATAAATCTGTAGAGAGGTCAATTCTGTACATGAAATATATTTCCAAAATAACTATCAGGATTAGTGATCGATACTGATGCCAAAAATGTAATCAGTCGTGCCTCCGATCAAACTGTTTATAATTACTCCTCTCCATCCAAAGGTTGCCTGGAAGAGATCGCTCTTAGCGATAAGGCCGCCCATTGTTTTCTCATTGTGATTATTTCTTGTAATTGTTTATATTTATAATAAGTTTACTATTGTAATCTTTTAGAGGAAACAATAAAGAGTATCTATCTATCTATATTTATTGTTATATAGATAGTATCTATCTATCTATCATAAGCACAACGGCCCAAATGAGAGGCTAAGCGCGGAAAAGAGAGTCCAATTTACATTTACATCTATTTATTTTTAATTTGTGGAAATTGAAATAGATATTTATATATCTATTTTAATATCAGGGTGTTGATGGCGCTGCTACGATTCTGTAGCGCGTCAGGGATGTTCGCCGAGCATCGTGTCGGTTGTTTTTATGCCACGATGCGAAAAAGGTGTGCATCCCTGGTGCGCAGAGTACGTGCCAGCGCCAACAGCATCCTGAGTATGATGGCGAGCAGGCTGCACTGTGTGTACGTTAATCGCTGCTGCGCAATTTCCAATGGAATTGTGCAGCGGTGATTATCTGTATATTATTTTGATATATTATATGTGTGTGTGTGTGTGTGTATATGTGTATGTAAATTTACTAACATTAGTTTTAAGAATATTGTTATTAATAAATATTTAATGGACCAAAAAAGTCCGAAATAAAAATTATAATATTTGTTCACAGAACACTTCCATTACATCAAGAGGATGATCGGAGCGGAGTATGTGGGCATCGGTGGTGACTTCGACGGTGTAAACAGGTAACTATTCCATTTAAAAACATACATAAATATTTATTTATTTTATAAATTCAAATTATCTTTATTCAAACAGACTCAGGTTATGGAATGAGCTCCCTGCCGTGGTTTTCCCAAGAGACTACAGCATGGGGTTCTTCAAAAGGGGGGTAAAGAGGTTTCTTCAGGGTCGGCAACGCGCGCGTTATACCTCTGGTATTGCAATGTGTTCATAGGCTACGGTAACCGCTTACCATCAGGTGGGCCGTATGCTCGTTTGCCACCTCTGTGGTATAAAAAAAGATTTGTTTACAAGCACTTTTAAATCGTCATTTTTTTATCTACTACAAAGTTCGGAAGGTTGTTGTCTGTTGAGAAGAGCTCGCAAGGCACTTAACAATTACTCTTTTAAATCTCTGTTAACATATATTTTTATATAAGTTAGTACATATTTATTTGAATATACCATGTTTAAAATTATATGGTCATACTTCATTCTACATAAATATATCATTGATAAATACAATAGATAGATAGATAGATAGATGACCTTTATTACCATTATTAAGAAAATAAAAAATTAAAATAACAAAAAGAAAAAAAGAACAATTAATGTTGCTGGTAATAGGAGCTATATATATATATATATATATATATATATATATATATATATATATATATATATATATATATATATATATATATATATATATATATATAATATTAGCTGTTATAAATGTACCAGCGTGATGGGTATCATAAAATTAATAATACGCAATTCCATCGTACTGCTACAGTGGACTATCATTGTCTCAAGTATCATGAACAAACTCCACACTGCGTACTATACGTTCACCGGCAGCTTCATTCAATCTAAACGGCAGTCGTAAAGCTCGCTTGACTTAGCTCTTAGCCTAAGATCCCGCCGCTCACTTCTGCAGGTATAAGACGAAGGACATTTTAATGAAACTTGGTTTGATATGAAATATGGACGGCAATAAGCTGCCTGTTTCCATCGAGAAATGAGCAGCAGCGTCCCTCTTAAAACATCTACAAAGCCAAACTGCGGTTTCCAATCCGCCTGCCAAACGTGACAACTACTGGCGACACCCCTATAAGGAAAGGTTTATTTTCAGCAGTGGGCAGTTAAAAGCTGATATTTGTGTAAATTTGATAAATACGTCATGCTTTTATAATTATTTATATTTATTGTTTATAATTACTGCTCTCCATCCAAAGGTTGGCTGGAAGAGATCGCTTTTAGCGATAAGCTCGCCCATTGTTTTCTCATTGTGATTATTTCTTGTAATTGTTTATATTTATAATAAGTTTACTATTGTAATGTTTTAGAGGAAACAATAAAGAGTATCTATCTATCTTTATAATGAGTTTATTTACAATAACAGATAATTGCCTATAAAAATGGTCGCGTTTGAAGGCCATAAAAAAGTTTTCCTGCAGAAGTCAGCAGCGGGATCTTAGACTAAATATTCCCAGATCGTACAGGTTGTGAAATTTCAATTTTAAAGCTTATAAAGTGAGTTTTTCTTAGTAAAAACCGAAGGATAACGAACGCTTTAGTATTTACAGCGTCAAAAATATATAAAAATTATGCACATTAGTAAGTTTTTAGAATTATTCTCTTATGCCCTAATAAAAAAAAAACGGGGGGAAAGCGATTGTTAGTAATGGGGTCTAATAACCCCATTGCTATCAATATACCCTGAGATCGACCTTCACGCGGTTCTCCTGGAAACCATCATGGTTAATTCTTGTCGAATTCATCATGATGGGCCAACTGACCTGCATTCTTTCTCACCTATCATCTTCCACTGGTGCCTCGTCGGTGTATACTGATAGCGCGGGCGGGGTTACCATTTTATTTTCACCCTATATTAAAAAAAAATAGGGCAAAACAGTATAAATTTATAGTAATTCATTTGAATTTATTTTTTTAATTTACTTTATACCATATATATACAAATAATAAGAAAATAAGAAAAAGTTGTAGAAATGTCATGTATAACTTTAGCTGCCCGCTAACGATATGCTTTCCAACTGTATTGAGTTAAATGGAAAAGATTTCTGTCAGAGATAACTTCATCCTTGCTCACGATATTTATAAAAGTTTTAACTATGTAATTTATATATATCTATATATATATATATTATATATATATATACTATATATATATATATATATATATATATATATATATATATATATATATATATATATATATATATATATATATATATATATATATATATATATATATATATAGAGAGATATATATATATATATATATATATATATATATATATATATATATATATATATATATATATATATATATATATATATATATATATATAATTAAAATAATAAATACTAAAACTAGATAATTGTTTCATTCAAAGATATATAGAAAACTAAAACTCTAACAAATCAGTCAGTGGAATTTTACATTTAATAAGTTTAACAAATAATGAAGCCTAACCATAATATAGTGGGGGGAAAGGGATTGTTAGCAATGGAGTTTGACAGCCCCATTGCTAGCAATATGCCCTATTAGGTTGACCTCCACGTGTTTCCCCCTGGAGACCATCGTGAACGATTCTTGTTGAATTCGTCACGATAGGCTAACTGACCTGCTTCATCCTCACCTATCATCCTTCACAGGTGCCCCGCCGGTGTATACCGATAGCGCGGGTAGAGTTACCATTCCATTACCACCCATTAAAAAAATCATAATATAGTCTGGATATCCAATAATATGTTAGTAATCTTTTTATTTTTCACTAATTTTATTTCAACAATATAACCTTACTTTTTTTTTAAATACAATTGAAATACAATATATATTGTACTTGTTTGTTATACACATATATTAACACACTAGCCGTTTCCCGCGGCGTTGCCCGCTTCTAACTATGTAGTTCCCGTATATCATTCCCATTGGAACCCTTCATGAATCCGGTCTTATATTGTATTATATACTTAAATGATAATTACGTACCTAACACCTTCGTAAAGTTTCAGCCAATTCAACTGATCGGTTACTTTATAGCATTTTATATGTGATCCTTTAGATTGATATTACTTTTTTTTTTTATTTATGAACTGATTGAAATAAAATAAACTTTAAATGTTAAGTGCGACAAACCGCAACGTAAACCGCATTCAAATCGGTTAAGTCATTTCTGAGATTAGCGTGCACAAATATACAGAGAATCAGACAAAAATTCTTAAAATCATAGTTTTGGATTCTGTTGCATTGATAAAGCCCTTTTATAATTGTTTTTCTTATGTATCTTCCATGTACAGACAGCTATCAGTTGCGATTTTATTATATGTATTGATTGACAGAGTCCGCGGTGGCATTCTCTTTTTGCGGTACATATTTTTAAATTGGAAAGAAATTTTTTTTTTTGAACGTATAAACCGTATAAATTCAGATAGTCTCTTAGATCTTTTACAATGGGATCCCGATCAATAAATACAATTACTTGAAAAGGTTATAACCATGACAGTGGCAAGGTCTTTGTACCCTCGAGTCTTTGAGTGCACAGCGCTCCGCTATTGTATATCCAAGCTCAGATGAATTGCTCAGAGGTACCTTTGAGTGCAATTACGCAAATGTAATTCGTTATATAATTAAACAATTTTACATATTTCTCAATGATAATATTACAATGGACTTTGTACAAAAGTCGATTGCTTGGGTACCTCTGTCCCATTTGTGTTATAACCGCGAAGCAGTTTTGCTTGCATGGCTGTGTGCGGTGTCTGTCTGTGTTCGGTTTGAAGGGTGGGATATGGCGTGAATTTACTGGGTACAGAGGAATAACACCTGAGTCCTCAGGAATGGCAACGCATGGGGAGTATCACGGGCGAAACAGTATACTCTGTTATGCCCATGGTACTGCTCATGTCTATAAGCGACGGTTACCACTTTCTATCATGTAATCGTCGTATTAAAAATGTCCCTGTATTAAAAAATAAACGTAAACTTTATGATTATTTAGCCATTAAGGCGCTCAGACGTAACAAACAAACAAACATTCAATCTCGCTTTCACATTTATAATATTACTAAGTATTATCGAATGGAGAAAATAAATAACTTTTACTGTTTCACCACAACCAGGGTCCCCCGTGGTCTAGAAGACGTGTCCAAGTACCCTGAGCTCTTCGCTGAGCTACTGCGCAGCGGCCAATGGAGCGTACAGGAGCTGAAGAACTTGGCTGGTCTCAACATGATGAGGGTCATGCGCCAAGTTGAGAAGGTGACCGTACAGAAATACCTTACTAGCTGATACCCGCAGCTTTATCTACGTAATACTGAGTTTTATATCCCTTACTCGCATTGCCGTAGCTACGGGGGGAGGTATTGAGGGACAACATCCTACCTTAAAAAGAAAAAGCCCCAAGAAAATTGGACAGACTTCACTTAAATATGGCTTCTACCTTGCCAAAAAGTTCTTTTGCCTTACCTTAAACTTGGGACTTACTTACTTGCTTACTCGAGATATAAAACTCAGTTTTAATAATTAATACAGATTTCATCCCTTATTTCACCCCTTCTAGTTTTGTTTTCGGGATAAAATAATTTATATCTTATATACATAAACATATAGCTGAAGTCTTATCTATCCCAATTTCACCAAAATTGTTTCAGTGATTTAGACGTGAACAGGCCCTCTAGACAAGTGGTAATACGTCGATAGAATCGACATCGCTACCGAGTCCGTGAGTTGGAATGAGACATACGACGTTGCTATCTCATTCTATTTCACATACTCACTGGCGATGTCGATTCAATCGATGAATTCGCTTGCCAGATTTATTTTCCACTTTCCATCAAGTGGACCGTCAACTTGTTTGCCGTTCTAATTAAAAAAAAAATAGCTAAACAAATTAATTCTTTGATCAGGTCCGCGACGAGATGAGAACCAACGGAGTGGAGCCAGAGGAACATCCAGACTCTCCTAACGACAACGGGAACTGTACCAGCAATGCTTTCTACACTGAATATGTTTAAGTCATACATTGTTTTGCCCATAGATTTCCATAGCATCTTAGGCATATAAGCAGACCAAATTGGACCTGGTGACATTAGTGGCCATCACCTTGTCACATATATGTAATTACTTACTATTGAATGAAAGAAAAAAAAACAAGTGGTGTATTCTAGAACTTTCCACAGCTACTTGATAATAGATGGCGTTAGTTGTTAGTTCTCGTGTGAAAGTAATATTATGTTACAATCTTAAAGTTAAAAGCCCATTAGAATTTACTTTGTATGACCCGCCGAGTTTAATAGGCTTCTCGCGCAGAAGACGTGATATTATCGGGCTAGTACATTTCCAGCGGTGGTATTATACTAAGTAAATTTCATTATAATTCGAGTACAAAGAGGGTTTTGTCCTCCCTGATTTTTAGCAACCCATTATCATCCCACCATTCGGCATAGAGGATTATTGATTAACAATTCAATGTTAGATATCAGTAAGGTACATTTCTCTCTGCCTAACTTTAAATGGAGAAGACGTGATATCAGTAAGGTACATTTCTCTCTGCCTAACTTTAAATGGAGAAGACGTGATATCAGTAAGGTACATTTCTCTCTGCCTAACTTTAAAAGGAGGAGAGAACAGAATTAAAATAAAAAATGTACAATTACGAAGGAACTATAATTATTTATATCAGTTTTATTTACGTATTGACTTCAGTGTTGCCCCACTAGCTTCAAACTCCATAAAAGTCCTTTTTCATAAGCACAGTATGACTCACGATAGTTATTACACTACAATTATATAAGCAATTTAAAAATCAGAAATCGTAAACATTTTTTTGTTATATACTGTTTAATTAATTTTGTAAAATTTGAGTACTTATTCGTCCCTGAATAAAAAATCAATGAAATTTATATTTTATAATGGAAATATTTTTGCTTCACAGAACATATATTTTAACCACGCACGACATAGTTGTAGTTAGTTAGTTACAAATTACGGCCGTTTGTTATTGATTTACTCATAATATCGTTAACAAAACCAAAATATAGACGTTTTTGTCACAGAATTATAAGTAAATGAGTAATGCAATCTAATAATATTGATTCGATCAATATGAAATTAATTATTTCCATACATAATAATACCCTTTCTATAAAAACAAATGTACTATAAGTAAAAAAATAAATTGCTGCGTTACATAAAAAGAAATTTTACACTATAAATATTGATGTATCCCACGTTATTAAGTGTTCATCCAAACACGATCCCCTTAATTTTCTTCCCCGTAGATTCCCATCGACAAATTTATTACCTAAACCGCTCCGTAACGAAATTCGCATTTTCATAAATTTTCTTCTATAATTGGAACGTCATATTCGTATCCGTGTCAAAAAAAAGGTACGCCGCAAACTCGTGTGATAGATTTACGCTGATAAATAATTATGTTCCGTGCTATGTTTACGGCTGCCTATCTTCACGGTATGCCCTTCATGGGATAGGCAGAGAGAACTAGTAGTATCTATTCTTTTTTTTATTATGCTCTTCCATTTTCATTTACAATGTAAATATAAATTACATTACGAAGTACGTAATGTAATTTACATTTTTGTGTAATTGTAAAGTAAGAATATCATTATCATAAACGAACGTATCATTTATTACAGTGATATTTTTTCTTAAAAATATTTTTTTTAATTGCTTCTTTTAAATAACAGATATCTTTTTGACTAATAAAAAAAAACGATCGAAAATATACAACATCACCAACGTCTCAATTTTGGACCGCTTATGTGTCTGCATCTATGAAAACTCTCAGACCGTCAAAACACCGCCATTTTACGTCCTCTATTACTGTTATTTTGAATTTGTCAATTTACATTAAGAAATCACAAGTCTTTTTAATTAATTGCATAAAAATAAATTCTATTAATAAATGTTACGGACCACTGTCTATTATAAATATGTAATATTGAACAATTTTTGAATTGAATTGATCAGTCCTTTTATATTACATAGAAATATAAATTCATGGGTTGACAACCGTCGGCTAAAATCGTAAAACATTTTTTTTGTTTTAATAAAGACAAAGGTCACGGGATGTCATTTATCCAAATCCGTTCGTACGCGGGTTTTGACGGGTGTAATAACCGCGATATTGAATTTGACAGGTAAATCCAATTGATGTGTTTATAAAGAGATAAATATTTTGTATCTATGTTAACCCCAAAACAGCAGTGTATAGGCGTATTACGTGAACGACCGGGTATCCAGTGGACTTCAAGTCGTCACGTAAGTCTCTCTTGGAATATGATTGTCGCATCCGAGGGTTTGATTAAATAACACACCCATGATATTATGGTGTGGTCTATTTGTCAACTTTTTTAATTATTCTATACATTGTTATTGTGTTTAACTTGAGTAAATATACCAGTATAATAATTATCAAAAATTCGTTTAAAACGAATACAAAAAAATACAAGCTTATTTTAAGCATTTTCCATTTTGAAATTGATTAAAAATTTACAAATTAATTTATTAACTCTAAAATGTTTTCAACCTCTGACACACTTTGTACTGTCTCTGTCTGTCCCGTTGTAGACTTAATTATTTCCAGTAGGTCTATATAATAAAGGTGGAAAAGCATTTTAGCCGCATGCGTCACAGTATAAGTCACTCCCATATTTTATATTGGATCTACTCACACCACTACAGTTTTATAATACATATATATTTTACCCTACCATAAAAGAGCTTTAAGATTTTTTCACATTGTGTAATATTTCCAATATACAACAAAAATTGGGGTCGATTCGCCCCATTTTCCAACACAGGTCCGAAAAGCCCCACTAAGTGGCATGTGTAAAGCTTCACCCGCACACCACGTAGTGCAAAGCACACACATATACCTATTTATAATCCTCGCAACATAATGTAAACTTGAAACATGTACGTCTGGAAATTTTGCTGTGCAATTTGCATTAATCTGAGTGTGTTTCTGTGTACCCATTTCTCTAAACTACGGGATGCGACACCGATGTCCTTAAATAACTGTAATGTTTTACCCTTAGTGTTGGTAATAACAGATCTGAACAGTGGAGTTTATGAGAAAGCGTTAAATGGAATGTTATTTTATTATTTGTATTTCAATAATCCACTGCTGGGCATAGCATGAATACAAATAACAATATTTTTTTTAAAGTTTGTTTAAAACATCTATATCGGATCTTTGGGCGTTTCACACCTCACAATGTAAATTGCCTTGGCCGTGCCTCACAATGTAATTTTTTTACTGGGATTGACCACAGTATGTTCTTTTTTCAAAAGAAATTATGATTATAAAAATAAATGGAATCCAAAAGTTCTATTATAAAAGAAATCGTAAACAGTTCGATACGTGGTCCGAAAAGCTCCACTGATCTACTTAAGGTGCGAATGACACATGGTGTGAAACACCCCAAAGACACCTATTGATTAGACTTCTACTGAGAACAACTCAGTGAAGATTGGTCTGAATTGGAGTACAGATTTCTCATACGCTCGATTGTTGAGTTTCTGATTTATAAATGTCAGTGTTTGTAGATGCATGATAGATGTTCACTGTGGATAAGCACTTCTTCCTTCTCTCACTGATCAGTACTCTTTTGGGGTCACATATCAAATCTACTGTGTCGCACGTTATTGGATACGCTCTTTCATTTTTAACTTTTCATTTTTAGCTCATACCGAAGCGTACCAAAGTGTGGCAAAGTGATTATCTGTCAGTTTTAAAAAATAAATCACATATTTTCAATATATGTGCTTATTTATTCATTAAATATACTAAGTAAAATGGTAATCATACAAAAAGATTATTATAAAATAAAATAAAATAAAAAATAAACCTATCACAAAAAAAAATTTGATTTTGGTAGCAAAAAAACGTATTTGATAACTTCAAAAGCAATATATGTATGAAGTAGGTGCATAATTTTTAATGACAGGTTTACATATTTTGAACAGCTTATTTTGTAACCTTTTAGTTTACTTCAACGCTGGACGCTTTCTAAATAACCAATAAGAAATTTGTTCATTTTTTATTACAAATTGACAGATAATTATGACGTTGCTAGTCTTCGCTATAAATTTGGTATGAACCCTTTTAAAGGCGACTATGTTTCTTCTAATTATTCATACGTCTAAAAGACGCCATCTTGGTTTTACCTTTCTTCCGCCTTCACCTAAAGTTGCATTTGACACTGAGCGTACTGTCAAAACGTAGATAGTATAATTTGTAACAGAAATTATTTTAAATTGTCAATAATATAATTAATAATATATGAAGGGCAAGATAAAGAGAGAGTGAAAAATAATAAATCGCGTATTAAAATATTTAATTAAATGTACTCGATACCACGACAGTTTAATTAATTTTCATTTAATCGGTTCATTTATTAAATTAAATTTACTCATAATTATTATAATAGCGAACAACTCGCATCATAATCTGACATATTGAATTGGATTTTACATTGGTATTCAGGGATATAAATTTAAATATATGTCAATCACTAATATGGAATCGAATTCGTATTCACGTTGCTTTATATATTTAAATTGTGTTTCTTATTTCAACAGCTGAATATTTATATACGTATTATAATTTAATAATTTATAATACCAAAATATATATATATTTATGTTATATATATACAATATTAAAATATATTTTGTTTTAATGGTTTTACCATAATAATACTATTTTTCTTTAAAAGTTTTAAGGTGACTCTTAAATATGCTTTAATTCAGTATCTTTTGGACCTCATACCTCATAAGATATATAAAACAACAACATATTCATTTAAAATAAACTCTGTAGTATATCAATTGTCCTTTATTGTCGTGACTATTGATTACATTTATATAAATATATTGAAACGAATTAATAAAACAACAAAAATATTTTATTTACAATTTGTGATTGAATAAATAAAAATGAATAAAGTATCTCGTTTTAGGGACGTAGATAGAAAATAAATTTTAACAACGTTAAAAAAAAATGTTATTCGTTTGAAATAAAATAAGGGTTTCCAATGGATTTCCGTATTATTTCTATGGTAGTTTAAAAAAGTCGAGTAAGCGATTTGAATTCTGTTCCTATTCAAACTGGATTAAACATTATTTAGCAATGTTCATTTATTTAACATTGTTAATTAAATTACGTTTATTCATTTATGTAATGTAAATGTGTGCGATTGTTTATTTTGCAAATTAGCACTGCACGTTTGACATTGACAATGTCAAATCATTAATGTCAGATGTGACAGCCAATGTCAAACGGTGCATTGATGCTTGAGCACAGTTCATAATTATTTCTCTAACAATATAAAATGCTCATACGCGTGCCAAATGCAGTAATATCATTTTAATTAAGCTGTAATTTTTATACTCCTATGGTCCTATTATAATAATTGTCGCTTTCATTTTGATATCATTGTACTGTAGTGAGGGGTGTCCACGGTTTGTGTCTTTGCATTCATCACTACATGTACAATATTTGATTTGTCAAATGTATGGAATAATGCGTGATAAGATGGATGTCAGTCCCGAAATTGTGGTCGTTATATCGTCGTGCTGTGATGATGATGTAAGTAAATCGTGAATTTCCAGGTTTTATTTTTTTTTTTATTTTCACTTTTAAATAATATTTAATTTCTATACTAATACCTAATTTTTATACTGATGCTGTGAACAGCAACAGCCATTTAGCAATATCATTGATGACAACATGTAAAATGTATAGAATTGACATAAGAAGAAGTGTATTCATGTGGTCAAAATGCGCCAGCTAATATCAATTTTATACATTTTCAACTGGCCTCAAATCTTTTTATGTTTATTACCTCATAACTCCGTCAATTGTAAACCGATTTGGAAAATTATTTTTTTATCTGTTAGGATATACGTACATATGAGTGCCACAGATACTTTATAAAAATCAATTCATTAGTTTAGTTTTTAAATCCAAGTAACTTCTTTTATCACAAATGATAGTGAAAATCGGTTTATATTTGTTAATAGTATACTACTTTAACTATATTCCCCAAGCATAATTGCTCCATGTTTTTAGACGTCACATAATACAAAACTGAATTCCTAACTGAAAGAGCAAGAATTTATTGTAAAACTGTACACATAAATATTATCTGAACCAGTAGAGTTTAGGAGGTGACTAAAGAATTGAAAGACAAAATATTGTTTCCGGACGAGTAATAAAAAAAAAATCCGCTGATTTATTAAAAATGTGGTGAAGGGTATCATAGATACAGATGGCACAATCTAATTTGGAACTGGCCAGTCTTATCACGCATTAAACGTCAACAATCATAGATATACAAAAAATCCAAGATATACAGCCAGGTAGTAAAAGACGGTACTGAAAATAGTCTGGTCTTAGTATGGGCATCTCAAATCTTTTCATTGTTTTTCTACTTATTTGTATTGTTTGAGAGAACTGATTTCATTTTGTTCACACAAAATTCACACATCACATGCTTGGTAACGGAAACTAATTTTTTAATAAATATATTAATATCATAACGAAATGTAGAGGGCAGCACATGTTGGAAGGCATTAGGGAAGATCTGTATTCAGTAGTGGATGGATACAAGCTGAAATAATAATTGCAAGTTTCTATAACTTGGATTTCTTGTACATCTATATTTACAATATTATAATTACTGTTGTCTATATGACAATAAACCCTCCACGTCGTATGGGATGACCTATCACGGGATCGTGCTGTGAAAATATTTAATATTTAAATATAACTATAAAATATAATGATATTGTGGAAAAAAAAAAAATACTATTTCTTATAAATTATGACTGAACAATTTTTGAACCTTTATTGACTAGCGTGACTAAGTGTTTTGTCTCAAATCTGCCTCTTATTTTGTGATTCTTTTTTAACAATATTGAATCGTATTGAATGGATTCTTCTAGCGCAAGCGCACATTTATCCCGCTAGATGGCGTTGTTTAGTAATGGTCAAAGATCTATTTAAATGATCGAATTTGAGTATTGCACCGGCAAGATGGCAATTTTAGATTGAAAATGTTCTAAATACAAAAAATATAACGTTGTGCACGACGCGATCGTGCCATTGATAATGATTTATTGATGTTTTGTACTTATGAACGTTTTTGTTTATAATTATTATGAATGCCTCATTTTATTTTTATACAATTTAAACAAATCTTCACCACAAAATTCTTACTGTATTAACAACGAAAATTAATACCAATTTGTTTTAATCCCTCACGTATGTAGCGACTTGCTTATTAATAAAATAGAAATTAAAGACAAGATATTTTTATTACTTGTTCTGCAAATAAATGGAAATCTTTGACAAATAAATATCATTGCATAGACAAGTTACATTTATAGCTTCCATAGTTGATAAATAACGAAATGAGCCGCAAGGAATCGACCTTCTGTGTAGAGAGGCGAATTAGGTAAATGGTTCCCTACGACGACAAAATCTTGTTTACTAACCTGATTAGGTATATTGGGAATTAAATGCTCCCTCCAGTGCCCAATGTTGGCTATTTAAGTAGAAAACTTTGAACGAGGAAAGGAAACCCAAATATATAATTGAGTTAGTAAATAAAACGTCCTTCTAAATAATGAATTGTCGTAAACATCGACCTGTGAATTAGAGAGAAATGGACGGGAGGATAAATAATGAGTCTACAACAATATTAATCCACTTACAATGTTGGCTACAAGTCAAGTTACGTTAGTAAACAATAATAACTAAGCTGAGTTCTTTAGACTGATACCTGCTGCTGATTTTGACAACTGTACAACATATCACAAACTAAAGTTCCATCCCAACCATCTGGATTAGTGGCGGTCCCTCACCGTGCGTTTTTAAGACACTTTCTTCCACGCGCAACCACTCTTGGAATCAACTTCCAGCAACAGTATTTCCGAACAGATACGAAATCGTAATCTTCAAGAAAAAAAAAATTCCTTATTAAAAGGCCGGCAGCACACCTGCAATGCTTCTAGTGTTGCGGGTGATCATGGGCGGTAGTTACTTACCATCAGATGAGCTGCTAGCTCGTTTGCCCCCTGTGTTATAAAAAAAATTCACATTTTTTTTCTACCGCAACTAAATGTACACATTTTCTTCGTGTTTGCAGTCAATGGGCCTGATGTTATTAGCCCAAAATCCCACTACGCCAATATCGCTGGCAAGTCAAGTGAAAAGGGACGGGCAAGGAACTCTTCCGTTACTCTTTGAATTGTGCAATTCTGTATATTGGTTTGCTCCCTGTTTTATAAAGAAAAAAAAACATACTTTATTCAAAATAATTTCAAGACGGTAGACGGTAAAAACGGTAGGGGCCATTTTAAGTAAGGTCGAATATTAAATAAGGAAATAGGCAGAGTTTTATGTTCGAGACTAAATGCCTCTGCTATATGCATACATAGTCGACGATTCGCCAATATATTTATTTACGATCTTGGCAACAAATCAAGCGGCGTAATGCCTAAAACAAAACATCAATAAAACATCACTCGAGCGAAATAGAATAAAAACGGAATCCGTGATATTCGATAAAACATATTTCAGTAAAGTAAACGAGTTTGGATGTGCGCTTGTGTTCAAAAGGTTGTTCGGCGCATTGCTCCAACCCCCCACTGAGGGCTAAACAGTAGGCCCTCTGTCTTCAAAAGTTCGTCTCTTACACACTTAAACACTATAGCAACGCGCCGAGCAACATAATTTCAGAACTGCTTATATTTAATACATAACTTGATATTAAACATTTGCTGTATACAATTTAGTATTTTTATTCTGCCAATCCTTTTACTTATAGCTGTAATAAAAAATGGGTCCAGAATTAAATAAGCTATTCCAACTTGAGATAAGAATTGTAGGCGATTTTTATGATTTATTAAACATTAAAAATATATAATGTTTGAAATAAAATTATGGAGAAAGTTATACCTAATAATCAAAATGGAGTAAAGGAATAGATTACGATAATATTAACTAAAATTAACCGTATCAGCGGTTAACTTTCCACTGTTAAACATAGGCGTCTCCCATAAGGGGAGCTTTTCCAGGAGTTGCCAAGATCGACAGGTGGGTTGACAACTGCAGTTACGGTTTTTTTTAATGAATGATAATAGAATGGTAACCCCACCCGCTTGCGCTAATGGCATATGTTGGCGGGGCACCAGTGAAAAGGCAGGTCAGTTAGCCCATCTTATTATACACCTGGTATTCAGCATGATGGTTTACAGGGTATATTAAGTACTAATTTTTTTTTTTTTTTTTTTTTTTATGGTTTGCGGTGCAATATTTAAGGCATCCCGTCCTCGCTATTGGATACGGGTGACGGAATGCCTATACAAGAGGGTAAATGGTGGACGCAATTTAGATGCAATATTTGAGGAGCATTACGGCCGGATACTGCAACAAAAAAGAGTATGTGGTCGGCCCCCGAACTGGCGACCTCTGCTGTCTACCGGTCTCCAGTTCGAGGGACGACCGATTACCGGCCGTAAGAGATGACGCAGGGCGTTTATGAAAACTTTTTTTTTTTTATATATATATATATATATATATATATATATATATATATATATATATATATATATATATATATATATATATATATATATATATATATATATATATATATTATTATTATTATTTTTGTTCTAATTTTGATACAGTAAAACTTATATCACTTATATTCATTTTTTTTTTATTTTATTTATTTATTTTTATTCTTTTTTTATATATTATTCTTTTTTATTCTTTTTTTTTATGTATATTATAATTATTAATATCTATGATGATCATGTTCGAAATATGGTAAATGTATGTAAATGTAAAAAAAAAATGTATATGGATTTGTACAATGAACTGTCTAAACCTATGTATTATTGATGACTTTTAACCTGTTTACAATGTATGTGCAGAAATCAACAAACGAATCAACAGCAGACTCCTTGGAGATGATATCATCTAACTGGTATGGTGCGACTCTAAGCATGGCGCAGCGGCTTACATGGTTGTGCCGCTGTGTAGCGAATATAGGACAATCACGCAACAGGTGCTGGATAGTCTGGATTGAGTTGTTGTCGCAGGGACACGTATTGTTATCGGTAATGCGGAAGCGATGTAGATATTGCTTTGCAAAAGAATGCCCGGTTATTATTTGAGTCATAGCGAATGATATTGGGACAGCCTTTCTATACGCAACAATACTATCAAGTGTGGGAAGCCAACTGCTAATTAATGACGAAGAAGTCTCGGCCACATACTCATTGTTGGAAGCACTATATGTGTCTTTTCTGATGCAGTAACGAGCGTAGGACATCGGGAACTAATTCTTTTGGGAAGCCACTTTTAGAGTGGCCGCCGTTCTGGCGGCTTCATCTGCTTGCTCATTCCCGATAATTCCCACATGAGCCTTGACCCAGACGAAATTAAAGTGGTTGGAGGATGTGTGTATGGCTCTATGAATGCTATTGACTGTCGGCTCCCTATTGCTGCGCTGTTGCAATGCCATAAGGGCTGAGCGACTGTCTGATAGTATGGTAATACTAGCATCCGAAACTTTCGTGTCTTCAAGCCACTGAATACCGATTTTGATGGCAGTGAGCTCAGCCGTAAACACTGTGTTGGTACGGCAGAGTTTCACCTTTTTTAGGACAGGTTGCCCTGATGGTCGATAGATTATTGCTGCCGCACCAACTTCACCTGAGTCCAGCTTGCTACCATCCGTATAGATCATGTATTGTGTGCCCGCCGTTAAACGCTTAACATCATCTTCGTTGTTAGCCAGCGCAAACTCAAAGGTGCGTCTCTCAGCCGGATGGAGTAGCTGTCGAGTTTCGACTGGTTTTGCCAGTTCTATATCGTCAGGTAAGCAATCCAGTGTGCCGGTTACCTTAACTTTGTGCAATTTGGTGCACTCCAAGATCTTAAGATGAAGTGGCACGAATTGTGCCAATGCAATCGCTGCCGCGGCAGAAACCGTACGAAATGCACGGATAGCACGGATAGCGAATTGCCTTTGCACCGTGCGAAGCCTACGTTTGACTGTGGTAAATCGAACGGCACCGCCCCAGATACCAGCAGCATACGTAAACATCGGTTCTATAACCTGTCGATATAGTGTCGCTATATTGTCAGGGTGAGGGCCCCAGGTGGGACGAGTAATTCGAGCTAACTTGTTAAATAGTTTAGAGGCTTTGAGAGCGATGTGTGAGGCATGTTTTATAAATTTAAGGCGCCAGTCAATTATGACTCCCAAGAGTTTTATCTCCTCCCGAATAGGAATAGATTGCTGGTCGATTTCAATTTTTGCGCTTCTGGCCCGGGCAGTAAATGCAATGGCCTGCGTTTTGGCCAGGCCAAAGTGGAGTTTTACAGAGTGTCCCCATTCGGTGATGCTCCGAAGAGCGATACGGGTACGGGTCTCGATTTCATCCACTGTGCAGCCCCGGACAATAAGCAGCACATCGTCAGCAAAAGCTTGCACATCACATCCCTCAGGCAAAGGAACATCAAAAAGTCCGTCAAGAATTAGGTTCCATAAAGAAGGACCACAAGCAGAGCCCTGTATACAACCTTTTGACATATTTTTTTGGATTGTGGCTGTGCCGTAATCAAGTATTACTCTACGGTCCTTAGTGTAATTAAGGACGAGGTTGTACAAGTTCCTAGGGCAATTTATACGTTTTAACCTGGAGAACAAAGCGGGCCACCAGGCATTATCAAAGGCTGCTCTTATATCCAGCGACACGGGCACCACTTGATCTCCAGCAGACTGCGCTTCAGTAATGCAATTTATAGCATGTTGTAGTGCATCTGTTGTCGATGTAAGCGGTTTGAATCCAAATTGCCGTGGATTGTCCAATCCTAACTGATGTATATGAAAGTTAATCCTATTGATAAAAAGTTTTTCTAGTAACTTTCCAAATACTGGCAAAAGACCGATTGGACGGAAAGCTGATACGTCATTCGAATCAATTTTGTCAGGCATGGGGATAATCTTAATATGGGCATCCTTCCAATTTTCAGGAAAGTACCCGATTTGTAGGCATCGGTTTAGGATGCCCAATATTACCATTGGGATGGCTTTAAACACGTGTAAACAGATATCGGAAGTCAGGGAGTCATTACCGGGAGCTTTATTAGGTGAGATTGAAGCCAGGCATTCCTCTACCTCTTCACGGGTGAAGGGTATGTCCTCATCAGTGTCAGGGATATTATTGGCTTCGGCTCTAAGCAGGCGCTGTTGAACAGAAGTATCTGGACCATCATCCGGGAAGTAGTGATTTAAGAGAGCGGCGGCAGTAGTGGCGCATGAATCGGTGTGTATTTGGCCTATTCTTACAGTTTGCGGAGGGGACCGGAAGTTATTGCTATATTTCATCAGTCGGTTGGTTATCGCCCAGACATCCTCCTTACCTTGAGCACTACAAAACTCTTTGAAATGTTGGGTAGATGCAAAGGATATCTTCTTAGCATATTCAGCTTTAAGAGCTCGGTATTCGTCGAGTGTGCTGCCGAGGGGTTTACCCGTCACAGACAAGTCATGTATGCGGTGATGAAGTTTTATACACTGTTTCTTTAGGGCCTCTAGCTTGGCGTTCCACCAGGGGTTAGAGTCTCGATTACCTGTCCTTTTGGGAATATTGCGCCTGCAAGCAGCGTGTATATCCTTGGTGAGCTGAGTTACCGCCTCGTGAATCTGGTTATTATCAAGGGCCTCAAACTGAAGTATTGTTAGACCGCTGATAGTGACATATCTAATTAAGTCTTCTTTAAAGCCAACCCAGTTGGCCTGTTTCGTGTTATAAATAAGGGTAGATTTCACTTTATTCTTATCCAAACATTGGGGTACTCCTATTTCAAATTGAATAGGGTTATGGTCGGAAGAGACCATGACTGACAAGTTAACATGCCAATTGGAAATCTGGTGCGCAAGGTTTGATGACGCAATAGTCACGTCAGGTATAGATTGGATTCTGAGACCATTACGAATTACCTCGAAGGTCGGGGTATCCCCTTCATTGACAACCGACATGTCTTCAGCTGAAATTATGTCTAAAATATCTTCACCTCTTCTGTTATTTCGGCTAGCTCCCCAGGCGGTGTGCCAACCATTTAGATCTCCACCAAGGAGCTGCAATGAACCCCTGGTGGAGGATAGGAATCGCTCAATTGCTGTGAGTGTGTTGTCCTTATCATCGTTAGGCTCTATGTAGGCGCTAGCGATCAATAGTTTCCTACCTCCCAAAGAAAGCTCAGCAACTGCCAAGTTTGGGGAAGAGAGTTCAGTACGGCATAGTGCGCAGCCGGTTTTGTTTTTGACGAAAATGCAAGCTTTAACGTGTCGATCGCCTCTAGGAAATTGAATAATTTGGACACCACGGATGCCGGTAAGCTTTTTGGAGTCGCCTACGTAAGGTTCAGATATAATGGCAATGTCAAAGTTGTTATCAATGAACAATCTGTTAAACTCTGACTGCGCAATGTAGCTTCTATTTAAGTTACACTGCAGAACTGCTAGTGGATGGTTCTTGTAGGCCATAGTCGACAGACTGCTCTAAAATTTGTCGCATGCGAATGATACGAGGGCAAATTTTTCGGTCTATAGCGGAATGACTTTCCTTTAAGTGACGGGTGTTAGGTAATTCAGAATTTGTGGAAGAGGTTTTGTTGTTAAAAATATGACAGTTGTAGCAACGGAGTTTAGATTTGTCCTTTTGGTGGGGGCAGTCTGGTAGAGAGTGGTTCGTAGCAGCGCAATGGGC